CACAGTCTGGGTATCTACTATCCAAAGCCTGTGCCGGAATTAACATTATGACGACATAGTGACGTCACATCTTGTACGTATCATATATAAACAATATGACGTCATAGTGACATATTTTGTACCAACCCGTTCTCGCAAATTCGTAAAGTCAATATTGACTTATTAACTACGTGCATAGGTGATATACTAAACATAATAGATACCCTTAAAAAGATTCATAGAAAACACCGACCTTACCTAACCTTGTTAGTATCTTAAGATAAGCATCTTATTGCTTCGTAATTACAATTATTACTTAACCTATACCTATTATAGGTTAGGTAATAATTGTAATTACGAAGCAATAAGATGCTTATCTTAAGATACTAACAAGGTTAGGTAAGGTCGGTGTTTAATATGAATCTTTTTAAGGGTATCTATTATGTTTAGTATGTCACCTATGCACATATTTAATAAGTCAATATTGACTTATTAAATTTGCGAGAACGGGTTGTTTGTACATACCACACACACACACACACACACACACACACACAGTCATCTCTACGAAAGGTTGGGTTGGGGTTAGAGTAGCGATGACCTATGCGGAGGGTGGTCTTGTTAGGTGTTCGGCCGTGTTCCCTCCGTCAGCAGTCCCACACCTGTACACTTGGAACAAGCTGTTCAAGTAACTAGCACATACGAGAGACAAATAGTTAATTTGCAATAGTCGGTTCCTCGGTAATCGTCTTGTTCAGTGCTCGCAAAATTAAGCGTTATAAATATTTTATTCAGCTACTCACTGTTCTATGATATTAGTGTGGTGAAAACTGGAGCTACTTTCTTCCCGTCTGGAGAGGGCGGGGGGCGTGTCCACGGGCGGGGGGCGTGTCCAGTATAACAGACGAGGAGTCACAATAACGTGGCTGAAGTATGTTGACCAAACCACACACACTAGAAAGTAAAGGGACGACGACGTTTCGGACCGTCTTGGACCATTCTCAAGTCGATTGTGTTCAGTATTCTCTTATGTAACAACATAATTGCCAAAATATTCTGATTTTAATTTGTATACAACATAATTGTGAAACAATCGGGGAGTCTCGTTCATTTTTATAAAATATGAAATTTTAACATTTATATAAGTAAATGTGGTCACAAGGTGTTGTCACCAGATTAGAATGCTTCACAGGGAAGGTGATGGCAGGTGGTGGGAGTGGTTGGAATGTCAGGTCGTCGCCGTTACCACCAGCCTCGATGATTGTAATCGATACTGTGTGAGGGCAAGTAGCTTGCTGGGTCTGGAGGCACAGAGGGGTCGCTGACCCCTGAGTATGCCACCCGGCCTCATAATAGAGCGTCGTATTTTGACGTGTACTCTACCCAAGGCCAAAAATCGTCGTACTAGAAAATGGTGGCGAAATTGACGTACTGTCTCGTTTTCTGTTTTGGGTCCTCTGGTAGGTTAGGAGAGGTCACTTTAGAACGACAGTTTCTTGTCGTTGGGAAACCTTAGGAGGACGTGCTGGGGTATGAACATCGCTTCCGTGTTTTCGTTTTAGCTGCCTGCCACTTCACTACAACTGTATTTTAGATTTATTTATAAGTGTAGAGCGGTGTCGGTGTTGGTGTTAAGAGGTGGGTGGTGGAGTGCCGAAACTTGGGTGGCAGTAGTTCTGTATCAGCAGTGCAACAACAATGGCAGCTTGATCAGACTCCTGTCTATATGGACGAGGAAGTCGTGTAGAGGCAGCGGGGTAGCCAAGGGTTGGGAAAAGCACAGTTGGCCGGCGAGGATTGGAAAAGCTGCTCCGTGGCATGCAGTACCCGGCCCTGCTGCAGGAGAGCGCCTGTGGGGCTCAGCTATGATTGGAATCGTAAACAGCAAGGTAGAGCAATGGTGCTAACGTGGTTTTTTCAAAGCATTGGTTTTTTGTTTACTTAACAAGCGCAGGATTTGGCTCAACCCGCCCTCCTACTAAGCGTCGCATTTTGACGTATACTCTTATTTAAGACCAAAAATTGTCGTAGTACAATATGGTAGCAGCTCGTGAAATTGACAGTGTCCCGTTTTCTGTTTTGGATCCTCTTGTATGTTAGAGTAAGAGCACTTTAGTACGACACTTTCTTGGCGTTGGGGAACCTTAGGAGGCCGGGCTGGATGATGGCTACGATGTGTTGAGTGGTGGTGGCTGACGTCGCCTGTCCTCTCATGAACTCACATTTTAACGTAGTCGACGAATCCGTCATATTTTCGCCGGTTTTAGTCAAAATTATTGCATCGTATTGTTAACGTTTCCCGATCATCGGCTTTGATAGATTAGTTAAGTGGCTTAGGCTTAAACGTTTCTGGTTAGTCAAAGCCATCGAAGTTTTCACGGAGTTTACAATTGTGAGGAAGAGGTGGTGGGTGGTGTTGAGGCAGTGTGTGTGAGGGTGGTGTTGGAGCAGTGTGAGTGAGGGTGGTGTTGGAGCAGTGTGAGTGAGTGGTGTGTGTGGTGAGTGGCGCCAGAGGCACGACTCCGGGTGTTGGGGAAAGTTTCTCGAGCGGTTTGTCACTAATATCTTGGCTTTCAGTTTGGTCGAGTTTCTCTTCCTAGTACGTGTAAATTGTGCCTTAATGCCAGTGTTTACACTGATATATTCCTTGTCTTTATTTTCACTATTCATGGTGTTTTTTCTTAGTGCTTATACATAATGGTATATTTACAATTGCTTGGATAATGTCAGTATATTAACCAGCATGCACTAAATATATGGGATACTGTCAACTTGAACACGAGCTTCTCAGACGACTCGTTTAAAGCCTCATGTATCGTTAGGTTGGGTTGAGTGCGTTTTGATTTAGCAAGCGATCCATTGGCGAATTGTCTTGCCCAAATGTTTCTCGTTTAGTTGGTAATAGTTAGTGTGTCAGAGTGGTCACGTGTCGTGGGTGATTACAGTGGTGGGCGCGGTGGTGAGGAGCAAGCAATGAGTGCTTGTAGGCTTGCCTGCGGTTGTTCTTGCTCTGTAATAATGAAGGAAACCAATCTCGACGCTCGCTGCCCCTAAGTCTTCATTATCTCTAGAGAACTCTCACCCGCTTGTAATGTCTCTCTAAACTAGATGATGGGCGCCGACCCTAAGTCTTCCTACTGGGAAGTCCCCGAGGATGCATAGTTATCTCTTGGAACTTGCAAGACTGGTGGTGGTGGTGCATAGACAACTCCTATTGTTCTTGGGTCGTGTTGCAACCTACCTTGTTGGTTCCTGGGATTAACGTCCTCGTGTATACCAACAAGATCTTGTACGGTATTTTCCCATAAACTTAGCTGCTTCAAAACTAATACACATGTTCTCATGTTAAGGAATTCATCAATCCATTCGTTCAATACTAATTATACCGTTTCCAATGTCCGCGGGATGAAGAGGCATCAATCAGGCTGGGGAAAGAATTGGAATAATTCCGCGGAAGTAGGTTATTCTTATGAACAAATAAGTTATTCTTTAGGTTATTCTTAGTTGCATCCCCCCCCCCCCCAAGCCTTACTGTCACCACAACTGTCACCGCCACTTCCACCACAACTCTCTACTACCTCGACTAGAATACAACATTGTCAACCACTGTCTTCTGTACCTCTGTTCTCGTTTCAACATTTTATCCTTATCCTAAGAAACGTCGGCCTGGGACACCCTCGTAATCCTCGACGATCAACATCGTGTTGGAAACTAGCATCTAAAGTTTCTTAGAGTAATAATGTTCCCCGCCGTTCCGTTGTCAACTGTTACAGGTAATAACGAGGAAAATAATACGAATTAAATATACAGCATTTTGCTAGTAAAACGGGGAAGTGAAGATAGGACAAGACCGAGTTAGACGAAGGGTAGAAAAGGGGACTCCACTTTTATTTCAAGTGGGGGGGGGGTTGGGGTGCTTCTTGTCATCCACAGTATTGGAACCTATTCTCGGCACATGTTTGTATATTAGACCTTTAACGTTAACGTTTTTCTGTGGCATTGCTTGATAACGGGACCTAATAATGAGGTGTTGATTTCCCTGAAGACGGAGACGAGGGAAGGGTTTTGAACTTTGGGAAAGTCGTGTCCTGGCCGGCACTTAGTGGCTGGCGTCTTGAGAAACGGTCACTGAACGGCTGCATCTCCACACTTACCCTGGCGCCATCTTTTGATAATTACTTCAACTACTTACTCTCGCTGAGAGGATGGAAATTATTTGTGGAAATTAAAAATATACTGTATACGTTATCCTTTGTTCGTAATTTGAGAGTTGTATATTTGTAGGTTAAATAGTGCGGCCTGTTGTAGTTTTTTTATCGTGCTTCAAATGACTTGAAATTGTGATGGATTGTTTTTGAAAATTCATATAAAGAATCGACATGCCGCCATTCAATCACTCAAGGGTAACCGATGAAGGCTATGAGAGCGACTACTCAAGGAGGAAATTCTATCCAATATTGTGCCGTAAGTGCGTAGTAGTCAGCAATGACGCCGTTCTCTTTGCTTTCGTCCCCCATTGAATTGGGGGGAGGGGGTTCATTTTCTTTATATCCTCTGAAGTAACGTTTTCTGTTCATTCCGCTCTTCTTATTGGGAGACTAAAATATTTCCACAATATCCTAATGATTAGCTTTAGCAAAACCATTATTATTTGGTTCCAGTTTTGCTTATCAAAATTATTTTTATCGGCACCTAGTCTCATTGTCGTTTTTTATATATTTTAACATGTTAATTTTATTGGTTATGAGTGAGTATTAAAGGGGAAATTGTGTTCAATAACATTAAGTGCATGGTAGCCAGCATGAGTTTTCTTAATTTTGCCCCCTATTAAATACGAAGCGGGTGCATTTTCTTTATTTTCTGTGAAGCATTATTACATAAATTAGTTCAGGTTGTGCTTATCAACATTATTATGTTCTTTAAGCAACATAAAGAATATTCTTTGTTATCTACCATGTTATCTACCGCAAGTCAATATCGTCATTATTATTTATTAATTTAGCCATTTCCTTGACACAAAGGTATCGTGCAGCGATGGGAGGTGCTGCAGGCCCAGGCTGTGGAGCGGCAGCGCCAGAGTGGACAAGTGCGGGAGCTGCAGCGTCAGGTGAAGACCCTCCGTCAGGCCCTGGAGGCCCTCACAGACCGTGCCAACCAGTTGACGCACGCAGATGATGTCAGCACCCACCAGCAGCTGAACCTGAAGCTGCAGGAGGCGAAGGTGAGTACCGAACTGGTCTCGTATGTAAGGCCTCCTTAGGGGGGTAGAAATAGCCTATTCCTTTGAGATGTATTTCTTTGTCTCAATAAATATACTTGATCTTGAAGGCCTATTTGCCTGTAGTTGGTTTTGGGAGTTATAATCCTGGAACCTGGTCTGGGGCTTGTTTGAAAATATAATTACTGTTTTCGGGGACAGGAGGCCACTACGGGCTCACCATAGTCCGTGCTACATGGACACTTCGTTCTGAGTAGTTAAATCTGAAACAACGACAGGAGGGCTATACTTAGGCTGACTGACGTCTCCTTTTAAGCTAATTATTGACGTCCCCCTTAGGCTTGTTATTGACGTCCCCAGGATACAACCTCTCGGCAATTGTTTAATTCCCGGGTACCTATTTTCTTGCTAGGTGAACAGAGGCATTACGTGAAAGGAAACGTGCCCAACAGGTTCAGTTCTGACATGAGATTCAACCCAAGTCCCTCGGTTGTGAACCCTTTACATATAAACATTGTTGGATATCATGTGCAAGAGAAACTCGTTGAATACGTTACCTACAATGATGCGTTACTGCCACCAGTATGATGTGTGGCATGAAATAAAACTATAATAATACAATTATTAATAAGAGGATATTATAGTTATATTTTCTTGGGATTAAGAAATAGTCTTAAGAAAATAGAACCAAACGTTTTGGTTTGGGTCTCCCACATGAACTCCCACACGGCTTAATGTGACACACGTCTGTCAACATACTCGTGTTGGATTCGTATGATTATTTGCGTCAGCATAAACGAGCTTCGAATGTGAGTCGCCTGTGAGGTATTAAGGTGGCCGTTGTTAGCCTCACCTGCTGCTGTATGGTCCGCGGTCGATTGCAGGACGCTCGGCCACCACGGTGACCTGAAATGTTCGTTCCTGTGAACAGGGGCAGTGACTGGGCACGTAATTGTAAATAGACTAGTGGGTATATTTACAGTCACGCTTGTCTATTATTTTTTGGTCTATTATGGTCGCGCTGCCAGTGACCAGCTGTTAAGGGTCACGCTGGTGACCCTTGCCAGTGACCCTGTTTATGGGGGTCACGCATGCCAGTGACCACCTGTTTATGGGGGCCACGCTTGCCAGTGACCACCTGTTTACCATTTTGGCCTGACCGCGGAGGATTATCCCTGCCAGGGGACGCGGATAATGGGGACTGGAGGTCCCCCAGGTGTGCTCTCTGGGGTCTGGTTCTTAAGAGAGCTTAAGCGATCCGCTTTGGTTATTGAAATGGCGCTTTTTCTCACTCTCCTTTCAATAAGGCATTTTTTTAATAATTGGTTTCCATTGACTATCAACTTTTTTTTATTTTTTTATCTACGTTATTAGGTGCTGCCTCCATTTTCTAGGTGTGATGCTAAATGTAGAAGGTTTAATGTTTCGATTGTTTCATGTTTCCGTTTTTTCTAAATGTGTTTTCCGATGCCAAAGCTGTCCCAACCTGTTGAAGAAAATTGTCGAAGTATTGGCTGAAATTTTACGGATGCCATTACTGGAGAAAAGGAGCGATACCCTCACTACATCAGTGCCCCTCCACTGCTGACAGTGCACAGGATACGGAAGACTGTTATTGACGTCTCGCTTGTAAGAACTTTTATATCAGCTAATAATACCCCCCTTGCATCCGAGGCTCTTTGTTTTATATACTCTACTACCATCTTTGTGTATATTATCTAGAGGTAGCTACTTGGATCTGTCTATTGTTTCCCTTCTGCTCTCTAAGTTCCGGAACTCGGGTTCCTGCTTATTGTGGCTTCCTACAAGGCCTGCATTGGATCCCCGATGGTCTATACCCTACAGGCATACTGTCGTAGTGTTTTCTCGTAATTGATTTACCTTCTTCATTCCTTTTGCATTGGTTAACTTTGTAACCATATTTGTCAGTGTGTATTCTGTGCTTTATTATTTCGACGATGTATTTTTCCATGGCACTTGATCAGTGACAGTGACACCACAGTGAGCACTGTGCCCCTCAGTGACACCACAGTGACATTTAGCGAACAGTGACACTTGAACAGGGACATGCTATTGCTCTTGTATGAACAGGAACATACAACCTGAAGACAGGTTGAAGTCTTCAAGAAGCAACGCGACAAGTTTGTACATAAAGTATCAGATCAGCCAGGTTATTGTGGCCATGAACGCAAACAACCTCACCAGCCAGGTTTTTCCTGTGGAATTCTTGACTCCTGTTGGGGCCGGGGGGATACAACAACTCGAAACTGATCACATCATCTATTAAAGTATACAGTTGCGTAAGAGTTTGTTGTAAAAGCAGGGTAGGTGGTGGCAGACTTGGTGGATTTGGCGTGGTAACTCTAGATCAGCGAGGCGTGGTGGAAGGTTGGTAGCACCGCCGTGAGGCGAGATGTAGGGAGAGCGGGACGTGGTGGTGAGTTGTGGTTGGGGTTAGTGGAGACAAATGGGTGATGGAGTGAGTAATTGATCGATGGTGCAAGAGGTTAGTTGCGGTGCCAGCGGCGGCCAGGTCCCTGGGATGGTCCTGCCAGTGGACCGTGCACCGCCCTGGTCCCTGGGATGGCCCTGCCTGTGGACCGTGTACCGCCCTTTGTGGTAATTATACACATGAAAAAATGGCGTTTTCTGACAGCGTGTCCCGATATATTGGTGCGACGGGGCGAGGCTCGTCGTCTCACCAGGCCTTGTAGCACTCCACAACGCCTGGTGACAGAGTTGTATTATGCTGATAATACTCTCGTGAATTTTGTTCGTAAACATTTAGATGCTAAATACAGACTCGTCCTACTCCTGGAATGAGACCTTTTACACTGATACAGGGCTGTAATGTGGCGTTATATGGACATCTTCCGAGTGATTGTGTTGTATTAAACGACGTTCAAGTGGACCGTTATGAGGTGCAGCTGGAAGTGCAGTTGTCCTGTCAGTGGGTGTTGGCTTGTATCGTGAGTGGGGAGTCCGTATGAACAACTGGGGCTCCTCCCTTCACACCCAACTCTGTCTTGCTTCTTGCACTGAAATGTGTAAAAGTCTCCAAACTTGATACATTAATTGTAAGTGACATTATCAACCTTAATTGCACTAAACTCTCTTTAAGACATAACTGTAACATGCTCGTGTCTGAAGCTAGAACACAAATACAACAAAACTATTAATGATGGTAAGAGTCCATTTCATGTGGACTCCATCTCATATTAGCTAAGGCTTCTGGCGTGCATGATAAAGCTGAAGAGTTAGCTAAAGAATCTGCCTTTAAAGGAGAAAATAAATATAATCTTGGATTGCCTATAAGCAGTCCAAGAACTTCAACAAAACCTTGTAGATCTGAGGTAAAGTAAAATCGACACCAGTAATTCCATCTATCATACAAGAAGAGCCACACACCTTTATTGATCATCCAATAAAATCAGCAAACTCCTAGATGTTACCACTGTTCGACTTAGACTGCTATAAATATCTCTGGGAAGTTTCATTATCTGCTGATGTAGACCTGGCCAAATGTAAACTGAGACAACTTCGTCACTATGTGATGGAGAGCGAAAAGATACGTGAATTCAGAGACAATAATGTAACAAATGTGTGCAGGAGAGACATATCAAGTGTGACACAAGCTCTCCACATATGTCAGTTGCTTAATTTAGAAACTGTATTTGTGGTCGGTCTCGAGCCCATTGTTGATGTGACTATGTGCAATAAATATTGTAACTAGCTCATCAAGACTGTATCTTGCTTAGCTAAATTAATTTTGGGTTGTAGTCCCTGAGCCCATTATGTGCCCCAGTAACCCTTTCCACTTCCGCCCACAGGATGAGTATGGGGTGCATAATAAATGAACAAAACTGAACTGAGGTGTTGCAAGGCTACTGTTTACCTTTGTAAACACCTGAAACGTTTCCCGTAATTTAATTTTGTCCGTAATTTTCATACCTCTACACCATTGTAAACACGTCAAAAAGTGAATCGATGCCGGGGACTTCGTTACAGGATGCGACGGTATTATTGTGCTTTTAATTTAGCTAAAATTATTTTGATGCTGGGGGCGATATTGTTGAAACTGAGGTGCTTTAAGTGTGAGAACAAAGTCCAGCCTACCAGTTGCCTCGCAGGAGCTCAGAGATCCCATGTAATTGGGTCTCAATATTGCCATTACTGGCAATGAAACACCATTCAATTTAAAAGCAAAATTAAGTTGGATCTAACAGTGTTAGGGGCGTGTAAAGTAATATGGGATGTTAACCAGGTCAGCAGTTCTAACGCGGCTTCCAAACGGATGTAAACAAACTGTTTCCACCGGGGAAATGGCTCGCATTCATATATATTTCAAAACAGGCGAAATGTTCGAAATAAAATATATACCTTGACAATTTATGAACTAATACCAAGGTCAAAACAAAGTCAAAACTTGGTCTGTTTGAGTAAATTATCACAAGTCAAGCCTGGTCCCAGGCCGGGCTTGGGGACTAGTCCTCCAGAAGCCCAACTCTAGGCATCACAAGAATACACTAAGCCAGTATGGACTACATATCAACTTTCGTGATGGGCAGCAAGCTGTAAAAAAATATTTTCTTTACAAACGCCAAATGACTGCATTTTTTTAACTTTTTTCTTTATTAAATAATATACAATATAAAGATCATATTTACATCAATTTACAAGGGAAAATACTATATTTATATTTTGTATAATTCTCAGTAAACCAATTTTCTATATCACCGAGCATGAGCCGTAAACCCCAAATGTTATACTGAGCTGCCTCGCAAGAACTTCAATATTCTGTCCACTGAGTAACCCTCCTGCCTGTCACTCACCGTCCAATAATTCACCATCACTAAACAAAATCTTGTTGACAATTTATACCCACGATATTTTCACATTACTGCTTGACTGTTATTAACTTGTGTAGTGTGGTCAAGACAGGAATATATATAATCCTTCAACAGAATTTCCTCGGCGCCAGTTATACGTGGAAATCATATAGCGATGTGACCCCTCATACATTATCATATGTGATAATGACGTGTTTTTATATTTAGTAGCGAGACTCGTATTTCCAAAAGTCTTGAGTTCGGATTTGTTTAAAACAAAACACAAATTCCTCTGTGAACGAAAATTATATCTGGTAAATGTTCAGGTTTTCCACTGGGCCCGTGTGTTGGGGTGCCCGGAGCGTGTGGTGGTGGTGGGGGGGGGGTGCCCGGGGCATGAAAGGGAGTAGAGGATCATGAAAGTAGAATTCCTCCATACTGAAACCTTTCTATTACAAAGGAAGTACGGAGAGCTCCACTCTGGGGGAGCATAAGGGTTAAAATGGATGGGAAAATATTGGAATGCGAGTGATTAGAAAGTAGTAGTTTAGGGGTGTAGGAGGGGGTGTTGTGTGGGTGGGGTGGGGGGGGGAAGACACAGGTGGACGCTGGAAATTTATTTGTGACTCCCACTCCCTCCCTCGCGCCACGGGGGCCCGTGTCTTGGTAACGATGCCAGATTTACACTCGCTGCCCCCCCCCCCCCCCCGACGTCTCCCTCCCTCCGCCCACGCTTCTGCCCCCCCTTCTCCCCCTCCCTCCACCTTCTCCCCCTCCCTCCCTCTCCCCTTCTCCCCCTCCCTCCCCCTTCTCCCCCTCCCTCCCCCTTCTCCCCCTCCCTCCCCCTTCTCCCCCTCCCTCCCACGCTCCTGGTACCTCCCTGCGCCGCGCGTCACCACAGGTTGCTAGCCACGCTGTCCCTTCAAACCACGACGATACCTTACCAGATGACCCAGAGTTATTGGGTTATTTAATGTTATTTAAAGTTATTTAATGTTAGCCAAGTTCAGTGGGTCTACCAGTTAGTGATGAAATGCTGATGACCCCTGAGTACCATGCCAAGTACTGGAGTCTCCAAAAGTACCCGGTCTAGTTCTGAGGGGGGTGGGGGGGATAAATTTCTCAATTTCCGTTCATGTTGAGAGGATGATTGTGGTCACCCACACCAGTATCTTGCTACTTTACTTCCCCCCCCCCGTTCTTATAGTTCCTGAAACGTTCTTTTCCTCCACCCCCCCCCCCTTCCTTCCACCCTCCACCCCCTTTCTTCCACCCTCCACCCCCTTTCTTCCCACACAACAGTATCTGGCCACATTCTGGCCCCACAATATCCACTTGGATTATTCATTTCTGTGGGGGGGGGCGAGGCGAGGAATGTAAAGAGCATTAAAAGCCCTTGTGAAGTCCTTCCAGTGGCCAAATAATGATTAACCCCTATTATTATGTTTGGACACAGCTTTACACCCTCCGGTTTTAATTATCTTGTGTGGAAGTTCAACTGACACGGCAATCTAATTCATATGTATGATGACTGAAGGATGTTCAATAGATGTTCAAACGATGGCAGTCATAGTAGTGTTTGTGGCAGCTGTAAAGTACATCATAGCTGTATGATGGCATTGTAGTGCTCATGGCCAGTTATTATTTTGTTAAGTGAATATTGTGGTAGGTTATGACGGGTAAAGATCAGGCGTGCTGGCTGCGGGGGCCCTGTTCTCCTTAATGGCTCAAAGGCACGCTCACCGCCCACACCTTGGGGACCCCCCTTGCCCCCTCCCCGCACGCTCACCGCCCACACCTTGGGGACCCCCCTTGCCCCCTCCCCGCACGCTCACCGCCCACACCTTGCCCCCTCCTCCCCGCCCTCTCTTTCTCTCTGCTTTCTCATATATATATATATATATATATATATATATATATATATATATATATATATATATAATTATAATATAATATAATATATATATAACATTAATGTAAAGTAACAATATAGTGACAGACGTAACAGGTCAAGTACCACATGGCTACAAGTATCTCTGGCAATTGGGCCTGTGAGGGGCTCTAGTCTAGATGATATAATGCATAAAATGTAATGGGCCTCTGGCTGGCCCATTAAACATTAAATGTTGCTTGTTTCTGTTTTACTTGGGCGGAGTATGAGTATTTATGACTCGTATGGTCGCTTCAGTAAAATTTTGTCCCTTGTGTTTAACAACTTCTGCTCTGTTGAATCGAAGTTGAAATCTTAATGGGTTTGTAACTGTGCACTGTGCTAGATAATGTTTCAGTGGTCTGTCGATACTGTGCCGTGTTAGTAGTAGTAATGACTGCTTATTGTAACATTTTTTGCATATGATAGTAAGATTACTTTTATGGAGGGTAGAAATAGCTTAAGCTACTCTATCCCTTTGAGATGTATTTTTTTCTTGTCTCAATAAACTTGCTTGAACTTGTAAGATCACCAACATTGAACCCATCAGTACAGTAGTTACTCTTGCAGTAGGATACGTTGAACAAATCAACTGTATAGTTACACAATAGCTTGGTGTGTAATGTCCATGTATAGCCTAATGCTGGGAGGAAAGTGTTGGTCATACTGTTTGGGAGATGTGTGATGATGCGCCGCCTGCCACCTCGTGCTGGGATGATAATTGTTGTGTTCTGGATGATTGACCAGCGCCACCACTACAGTGTCTGGCCACCACTGTGTCTGGCCCCATCATCCCAGCGACGACTCTCCGACTGACCCTGTCTAAGGCTCCTTTCCCCTTTCGTCCGGGCTGCTGCTTGACTAAGGCGCCTCTGGTTTTTCTGAATCTCGAACTATGGACGTGATCCCGCCATAAAACAAATTAAACACTAAGTAAACTGCTTTCTTAATTATTATCTGTACACGTTCGTAAACATTGTTGCTATAATATTTGTTTAGCCATCTAGGGTATCTTGTTTTAGTTACTCCAAACGATTTGACGTGCGTCCGAAGTTAGTGTCCTGACACTAACTGATAACTGTGTTTCTATGTTGTCCTCTTGCTAGTTATCTTTGGCCAGCTAAGAGGTGGACAAGACGTGACTGGCTTGTTCCTGTCATTCAAGCATGACCGGCCAATTGAAATAGGAAGAAGGTAACTTTGATAAGCCGACAAAAGCAATGTTCGTGGATGGTGTCTCCACGCGCACTTAGCATGTGGAGCATGTTCTCTAATTACTTGTTAAGAACGGTTTATGTGATTAGCTCCTACTGCCTACATATATGTTGGCGTGACGTCACAAATGAATAGTGAAGATAGTCACGTCATCACTACCAGCATAAGCTTGGCCCTGGCGACAGCTTGTACTACCAGGGTAACGGGCTACAGTATGAAGAGGTTACTTACACGATAAAATCAGAGATACTTGTATTGCGTGCATGTTTATGTGTTGGGGGAGGTGGTGAGCGGCGGTGTGTGACGGTACACAGCGAGGGGTGCCCACACCCGTCACGCTCACTCATCACCTACACCCTCTCCTCGGCTACACCCTCTCCACGGCTACCACAACGTTCCCCACTGCACCCAGCTAGTTTGAATTCGTTGCCATTAGGGGCCTGAGTGGACAGCGCTTGGGATTCGTATTCCCAAGGTTCTGGTTTCGATCCCCGGTGAAGGCGGAAACGAATGGCCGGAGTTTTTCACCCCAGTAAATAGGTACCTGGGAGTTACACAGCTGCTGCAGGCTGCTTTCTGGGGATGTGTAAAAAAAATGAGGCCAGGTCGAGGGCCGGGCCGCGGGGACGCTAAGCCCCGAAATCATATCAAGATAACCTCAAGATGTGATAAGCGTCCACATTGTAAGCTTTGTACCCCACATAAGTGTTCGTACCCACAATTGAGGCGGTGGGGCCTGCGGGTCGCTGCTGTGGGTATGTGGGCCTGCGGGCCGCTGCACGCAAACCGCCTGGTGGACCAAACACACTCAAGTGAAGCCTGGCCTCGGGCCGGGCTTGGGGAGTAGAACAATTCCCAGAATCCCATCAACCAGGTATCAACCAGGAAGCCGATGACAGTTATAAACGCTGTTGTGCACACATTTCCAATGGATATATTTATATTAGAGATTCAGCTAGTACAACTGTATCACCAGTTAACAAATATAAAGTTTCTTTTAAGTGCAGGGACAGGTTGCTTGTTTTCATCATTCAGACAAAATATCTGGAATTGAATATTTCGAGATAAAGTGAGCAAGTAAGATGTATTGTCAGGGATCCTTATTTTTACGAGGATGCAGGTCGCAAAACACAGGTGGATAACACACTTAGTAATATTAAAAAAGCTTTAATATCCAGTGCATACATAGGCAAGTTGAACGCCACGGTAATATCACTAGGCTAGAGCGGGAACATTTTTAAGCGCATCGCTGGGCTAGAAAATAAAGGAGGAATCTCTTGGCACATTGCTTGGCTTGCGTAGGCGCTCGTAGCACATCACTGGGCTTGCGGGGGAAGCTCTCTTAGCTCATACAGGACAAATCTCTACGCTTCACTAGGTTAGAGGGTGAAGAGGGTTTTAGGCTGAATGGAATAGTTGCTACCTGGGCCCTGAGTCTCCAACACATCTCCAAGTATGGGTGTAGATGACGTCAACAAATTGAATGAACCGAGTTGAGCTGTGTTGGTAGTGCGGTGTTGTGGTTGAGGGGGCCATATTTGTTAAGTAATCTCTTTATAAATCATGATCCTGTAAATAATGTATCAGGGTGCCGAGCGAGTTGTATCTAATGGTTGAAAAGGGTATGTATGTATGTTTGGTCATTTTGAACATTGCGTACAACTTGAATGCCCTTTGAGTGCAGCTCTGGGTGGTAGGTAGCCTCCTTGCAAAATTGTTATTTGCATATAATGACAAGTGGTGATTGAAGGCCACTTGAAGCTGGTGTGAACCTCTAACACTGAACCTTGTGCCCACTTTGTTTGTGGTTTTACCGCGTTTATTATACATTTGATGCATTTATATTAATTATAATGTTTCTTTCTACGCATTATCAATTGAAATCGTTACTTTTAGTGAATGTTCTTTTAACCATATGTTGCTTTTTGTGCTTTGTACAGATCCTGCAACAGGAAGTGTGTGCGCGCAAGAAGGAGGTTTCGAGCATCAACCTGGCAGTTCACAGGTTCCTCACCGACACTGGCTACTCTCTGGCGCCCCTCAAGGATGATGTTGCGGACCTTTACAGGATCTGGGACGAAGCCGACCGACGGTCAGTGTTAATATCTTCTAGTCCTGCTGTCACGCTAAACATTCTCTGTCCTTTACCTCCTTCGATAAAGCACAGCTGATGTTAAATGATACAGCAGAAATTCATAGGTATAAATGGTATATCATTAGTTCTAGTGGTGTTATCTTGCCTAATCCCACACTTAACTAGTGGGTACAGCATTATTCTAAGATTGTTGCCGCCGGAGGCGGCTAGTTTATTGTGCATCCCATACCAATCCTGTGAGCGGTAGCGCAAAAAGCATTACAGAGGGCACAAAAGGTCTTTATCAGACCTCATCTTAGATTATTACATAAACAATTTCATCTATCCTTCACACCTTATAGTTACAATGTCAGCTAGTTACAGAGAAAGTGCTATTTCAAGAGCTATATATTTACAGTAAGTCATTATACATTAATGGCAGGTCTTATCGCTAATACATAATAGTTTGACTATTCTAAGCTTGTTCTAAGCAATCACCACATCTTTAGTTCTCTGTTTACAATTTTCTATGAATATCTCGTCTCAGTTCAGCCTGTCCTAAGTTTTCCCAATGTCAAGAAACTGTCGTACTCAAGTGCCCTATCCTATCCTACCAGAGGACACAAAGCAGAAAATGGAACAGTATGTCAATTTCGCGAGCCACTACCATTTTCCTGTACGACAATTTTTGGCCTTGGGTAGAGTATACGTCAAAATACGATGCTGTTAGGAGGACGGGTTGCTCAGTTACTAAGGCAGAATAGTCAAATCACGGGAATTGCCTAATTCTGATTTTGTTAACATTAGGAGATTAGTGAATAAAGTTACTCTAGCACAGAAGTTGAGTTAATAAGGAAAGCTCGTAGATTTAGGCAATGTGATTGTTTCAGCTGTTAGCAGGAGCTAGAAAATTATGGTAGTAGTGGATTAAGAAAACTGACACGATGAAATTCTACAGTTGCAAAAACTAACCATCCTATGTATGCTTGAAGAAACCATCCTGTATGCTTGAATCTTGCTTCTGCTAACCTCACGGATTGTGTGAAGATAACCTCCCTCAAACAGCTGCGATTTATCATAGGCTGGTAAATTCAGTGATTGCATCCGGGAAATAGATAAAAGGGTTACCCTTGTTTGTATTCGGAATGTGACTCACCGGTGACTTTCAGCTAGAGAAATTTAAGATAGCGTAATTAAATAATTATAGCAGAGAGAATTGTTGCCGCGCGCGCGAAAACTGCAAAGTTAATTTCCTGTTTGCGCGTGAGAGAGAACTATCCTTGACTTGTAAGATTAAAAAAAATACTTCCTTTACAAATTTGTTACTTTCATCTTAATATAGGAAATCCTGCAGCCATGTAGCGAACATTAGTTGAAATTATATATATTTTTTCTTTTTTTCAGGCTGAGTAGCGAGGTGTCCCGGCTGGAAGGTGTTGAGGACGCCTGGAAACGTTGGGAGACGCAGGCGGAGGAGCTGACCAGGGCGCTGAGGCAAGACGGGGAGACCCTGAAGGTGTTGGACACGGCCATACAGACGGGGTCGCTGACTGACACCGAGACGGCCTCTGTGCAGGGTGTGGCTCGGCTGCTTAATGATAAGCGTAAGACGCAGCCGGGCAAGAAGCTGCTGCTACAGCATACCAAGGCGCAGGTAAGACACTCCCCCACCCTCTAGTGGGCTTACCTGGAGAGTTTCGAGAGTTCTACTCTCCGAGCCCGGCAGGAGGCCAGGCTCGATAAAAAAAGCCTCAATAAATAATAAATAAACCGTCAACCTAAGACATTCTTTCACCAATTTATAATAAATTAACTTCGTTTAGCATAAATGTTCTTGGCAAATCGTCTACTCCAAGAGAGAAAAATATATAACACAAACTCGTCTGATGATATAGCTTTAAAAGAAGTTACTATATTATTATTTTATCAGAGGGAGGGAATTATCAACGGAAAGTGCAAAGCCATTGCGACTATAGCACTTAAAAGGGATCAGGATCAGGATCAGGATAAGGATTAAGGATGGGATGGGGAAGGGAAAGAATGGTACCCAACAACTTGGACGGTCGGGGATTGAAAGCAGACCTGCATGAAGGGAGACCGTCGCTCTACCGTCCAGCCCAAGTAGTTAGACTTATTTCATCAGAGATTACTCCATTAAAATGTATAATCCGTTATACATTTTTTCGTGGTGTTTGGGGATTAGACAAAGGAATGAAAATATGAAAAGTTATGGATTATAAATACAGAACCCATCGTCCTGTTTAGATAGTACTTACAGTAACGATGACGCGCCACGGGACCGAAGGCTCGGGCAGCTCCTGGGAACGGCGAGGCCTCGCTGACATCCGTATAATTATCTTTGGTCGATCTACATAAAGTTTGGATGATAAGCGTGACCATGAGGTCACGCTTCATCATAACTGACGTTCCGCCTTCGTCAGTATGCTACAAGGCGTCCCATGTACCCCCATGCCGCACAGCTTTACCTTCTTGTACCTGGTGACTCCCTGTACATGTCTTCATCCTACACGCCTCCACCCGCCTCGTCTCCAGGGAACCTTTTGTCATGACATGTTCGGCATTCCCGCAATTCTTGCCAATATGTCTGTATTACGCGAGCGTGACAGTATGCCCGGGAACCTGTTTCCCGAGCCCGTTGCTCGGGGGTTGGTACAATGAGGCCGCAAGTAGTTGTTGATTGCGTGACTTCATGCGTGGGTATCAAATGTGAGGGCTTGTTCAGATACCAGTGTTGCGTGTTAAGAGTGGTGAGGCGGGGAGAGGTATTTGTATGCCATGATTAATACCGACAGGCCGCTAACAAGACCCTCCAGCGGCCAGCCAATGCGCTGCCTTGTGGGGGGTCGTGCGTACTCTTCAATCTTATTTAAATGTTAGAAATCCCACTCCTTCTCCCCCCCCCCCCCCTTTTCCAGCTACTGACACCCACATTAATCACTGAAGTGAGAAGTGTCATCAAGGAAAAAAATGAGCCGTAGCTTGAAGATGGATTGTCCATGATCAGCAGAATAGTAAAGTTTAGCAATTGGCGAGTTGATATTTATATTTATAGGTGTCAGCGTCTTCCACCTGACGCGACGGGCCTCGACACGTCCAGAGTCTGAACCCTGCACACGCAATACAACGACGTGTATACAAATAAAACCACGGGGTATTTATAGTTATGAAATGTTATATGTTACGCTGGAGATGTATTGCGCCAATTTTGAACGGTGGTACTTGGAGAAAGAAGCGCTTTTGTTATGACCCGGCACTTAAGACTGAACTTGTTTTTCTCTATTAAATAAAATACAATGTCATATATACATAAATTTACAAGGAAAATACTGCTGTACATATAGTTTATATAATTGACAGTAAACCAATGTTTCATATCACAGAACACGAGCCTTAAACCCCAAATGTTATACCTGATCTTGCCTCGCAAGAACTTCAGTATTCTGTCTACTGAGTAACCCTCCTGCCTGCCTATCCACATACAAAAAATGTAATCAGAAAGTAGCATAATTATTGCATTCTTTATTTTCTTGCATTTTATGCCAATATTAAACAATAAAACTCATTAAATCCTCTCAAATATCTGGTCCACATAATGCTTTAAGAGTGTCTGTAAGCCAAGTGAAACGTTGGGCTACGAGAAGTATAGAACTCGGCATCGCAAGTCACAACTAAATATAAGAAATGTAGCCTAGTCAAGGGAAGTCGTCATTAAGTGAAAAATAAATTGCTGGTGTGAGTGCCCGATCAACCTACGGGCCTCAGGCTGTGTGTACAAGTTTGTCAACTGTGATCACACGTAAATGTGAAAGAAATAAAGAATTTACTTGAAGTACAACAGCTAGAGTTTATCACTGCGAACTGAAGTTGCGTGATGCAAACCGGAATATTTTGATGAGTACGTCGGCTTGTGTGATGAAGCAGCATTAGCGTCCCGTGTAGTGCTTATTACATCCTCATGCAGCGGCCTCATTGTCAGTCAGGCCAGGCCAGCCCAGGCGCATAACTCCTCTCCATACAACTCATTCCTCAGGCTGATCACCTCAACATGTATACATCTCCCTCTTTAGTGATAATAGCTGACTGAGCTCTGCAGAATCCTCTGTAAACTTGACTCCTTTGACATCGGCCGTCTTACTTCCCTCTGCTTTCGTATTGGCTTCTTGAACGATAGCTATAGGGACCCTTCCATTATAACCACACACCCACACATTGTTTCAGCCACGTTATTGTGACTTATTCTCTGCAAGTACTCAACATTTTCTGAAATGTACAGTACTGTATAGCCATCTTGGCTTAACACTTTCCTTTGATAATTACTTGTACTCCCTAATGCAGAATCGCATAATTTATTAACCTGCTTCACAGTTTAGAACATTTACCATCATTTTACTGAAAGCCCAGAACCTTATTAATTGGTTTGTTTTATTTTTAATATATAATATAAACCCTATTTAATATTTATACTAGATGTATTTAATTTTGTATTTTTGTAATATTTGCAGGGTGTAGACATCCAGGGGTCGACTCTGTCCCTGAGGGCCTCAGGTGATGAGCGTCTTAGTGACTCTGGAACCTCTGGCTATGAGTCGTGTTCATCTGAAGAACTGAGCGAGCGCGAGCTGCGCCTGGTGCACCTGCGCAGGCTGGCTAGGGACCTGGAAGCCTCGCTCCATCCTAACTCTCAAGCCTGGGCTGCCATTTGCAAGGTAAGTTTTCCTGGCATTTGTGAAGACAAATTTACATAAATTTTAGTTAAACAAAGGCTGACTGTAATTCTTCAAACGCTATACGTTTTATGGCTATACATTTTATGACCAAATGTTTAAATTGTGTTTTTCAATAGGTTAATTTTTTATGCTTTCGATTCATGAGTACCTTTGCTTGTTCTATGTCCATTTCAGACACTGTCGAGCGCCGAGACTGAGCTAAAAGGGCTACAGAAGCATTGTCGAGAACTGGTGGTGAGATCGGCGGAGAGCCTTGACCACGCCAAGACGTCTCCCCAGCTAAGGTACATTGAGAGTCCCACAACTTCCTTAACTAATTGTCGCCTTGACTATCTGTATACTACTAAAATAAATTAAATATGACTATTGAAGAAAACAAATTACACTGCAAAAAAAGTTCCAAGTATCGACATACTTGGAACTTTTTAAAATAGTGAACCCCCCTGTCTATTCCTCTCCCTCCCTCCCTCTCCTTCCCTCCCTCCCTCCCTCCCTCCCTCCCTCCCTCCCTCCCTCCCTCTCCTTCCCTCCCCCCTCTCTCTCTCCCAATGCAAATAAAATAATGTTCTAAATGTTCTTACCTTTGTCATTATAATACGTTTTGAACATAGATTTGTAACATTGTCATATCAGTATTTTGAACATGTCTTTTTACGTAGCTTTGTTTAATTGATCAATGTTCTCTCGCATATTTACACATTGCAAATTACTAATATGACAAGGAAGAGAGATTTCTAGCAGCCCATAAACTGGAAAAGGTTTTGGATTTATGTTGCAAAGACGACCTAAACTAGCCTAACCTCCCAAGACCTAATATCGTACATGTGCGCTATTCTAGGCCTAGGAATATTTCAGTAGTTATATTAGCTCTTTTGGACTATACAGTGAATAGTACCAAATTCTACTGTCTAATTGCCATTTATGTCAATGTTTGTACTACGGTGCACATAGTACTTTTTGTAACTATCTAAACAGGAGGAAGGTTGTTGCCAGTGTCTGAGAGTCTAGAAACAACTGTTATGTCGAGTCCCAAATGTCATCCTCGACTGACCTCTTTATAAGCAACACGAATTCATTGCTGTCTGTAAACTAATCTCTCGTGTCATATTGATTATTGTTGAGTTATTGAACACACATTCTCGAATTTGATTTTATTGTGAATTATCTTTAAATTTTCGAGTTGTAATATATTCTCGCCATTTGTATATTTGTTTATAGTCAAGATTTTCCACTTTATAAAATGAAACTGAAGGTGACAAGTGAAACGATCCATGATTGGTCGGGTCATGGGAAGAGGCGGAGTTCATGTAAGGGGGAGAAACCCGATTGGCTGATCATTTTCAGACGTACCTCATAGGTCATTACAGATCACTGATTGGGTTTAATCATGTATGGACCAATGGGTGGAAAATGAATTTGCTTTTGGTACATTGGGTATTAAATAAGTGAGCGTAAGCTTGGCTTGTCGACTGGGGGTGCAGAGGAAGACTCAGAATATGCTCTCCAGTATCTTAATGCAGAGACATTGAAGTGTTAACTAGGTTACTATACATGTAATTATAATTAGCAATGTCAACATGCATTATAGTGGTAATAATTGCGTAACTTTATATGCTTTTCAGGAGACGCGGCTGGACGAGGGAGAACAGGGTTGGGAGAGCCTCCCGCAGAAGCAACACCATTGGTGGCGTGAGTGGCGGTCGCGGGTGGGTGTGGAGAGTGGTGCGGGCAGCTCTGCCCTTCCAAGCTGCCCTTCTGCTGCTCTTCTGTGTAGCCTGCTTGTTGGAGCCCAACTGTTGCGATCACGTGAACACCCTCAACCTGTCGCTGAGTCCCCAGGTCCGCTATGTGCACGGCCCACCACCTGTCTGAGCCTCGCGCTGGTCTCGTTGTGTATATTTATTCCTCTACCTGGGCCCAGTGCCCGGTGTAGATACCCACCCCCATGTACATACCATGGTCTGGTGTACATATATATGGCAAGCTACACACATCCTGGTTTAATATGACAACGTACATACCTTGCAGAGGCACGTGTGCACTGACGTCTCCAGGTAGTGTGTGTGTGTCCAGGTGGGCAGTGAGCCGGCCGGGTGAATTAGCGTGGCCAGGTGCGGCGGCCGTGCTCGGGACAGGACCGGTCGGGGCCCCGCTGAGCGAGACGTGAGGCAGCGGAGGAGGCAGCTTCCTCCGCTGCCTCTGAGGAAGCTGCCCGCATCCTCCATACTGCGTCAGGTTTCATATTTTTCTATCGACCTTATACATCGTAATTAAGAGTAAATGTAAAAATGGATGATTTAACAATAAATTGTCAGTGTAAAGTGAGGGTGATGTTCCTGTGTGATAAATGTCTCTCGTGGCGTGGAAGTGTTATACAAAGCAGTGTGAATATTTTATCTAAATGTTCTGTAAATTTATTTGATAACAATTGAAAAAAAAGATGCTGTGAAAATATTTTGTGGCTTGTTAGACAAGCCACAAGGCAACCGATGGTTGTATATCATACCGGCTTTTATGGTGGACTTTCTCGATAAGAAGTCAAGTGCGCGGAACCGTCGAGTCGTGTTTTCTGAGCAATAAAGATGAACATCGCAGCGATAACGACTTCATGCACTCCGGGTCTCGCGCCCCCATACCGATAAAGACTTCATGCACTCCGGGTCTCGTGCCCCATACCGATAACGACTACATGCACTCGGGTCTCGTGCCCCATACCGATAACGGCTACATGCACTCTGGGTTTCTCATCTCATACCGAAGACTGCAAGCAAATCGGGCCCCACGGCGCTAGCCGAGGGCCTGACTCAACAGTCTAGGGCGGACATGGGTTCTAAATACTTGCTCGAGGACCTAATCCCACAGTTTTGGGCGACCCATGTTTCACGATGATGGCTGAGGACCTAACCTTAGTCTAGGGCGGCTCTCAGGTCCCACCTAAGGACCCAACCCCACAGACTAGGCCGGCCCAAGCTCTCCCCCTCCGATGTTGGCTGAGGACCTAACCCCACAGACTAGGGTGACCCAGGGGGTCAGGGGGTCTCGATGTTGGCTGAGGACCTAACCTCACAGCCTGGGGGGATTCGATGTTGGCTGAGGACCTAACCCCACAGACTAGGATAACCCGGGGGGTCTCGATGTTGGCTGAGGACCTAACCCCATAGACTAGGGTGACCCAGGGGGGTCTCGATGTTGGCTGAGGACCTAACCCCACAGACTAGGGTGACCCAGGGGGTCTCGATGTTGGCTGAGGACCTAACCCCACAGACTAGGATAACCCGGGGGGGTCTCGATGTTGGCTGAGGACCTAACCCCACAGACTAGGGTGACCCAGGGGGGTTTCGATGTTGGCTGAGGACCTAACCCCACAGACTAGGGTGACCCAGGGGGGGGGGGTTCGATGTTGGCCGAGGACCTAACTAACACAGACTGGGGCGAGAGTTCCGGACCAATCAGGCTGTGATGGGTATGTGGGCCTGTGGGCTGCTCCAAGCAACAGCCTGGTGGACCAAACTCTCACAAGTCAAGCCTGGCCTCGGGCCGGGCTTGGGGAGTAGAAGAACTCCCAGAACCCCATCAACCAGGTGTCAACCCAGGGGGGGGGGGTCTCGATGCTGACTCAGGATTTAACTTTACGGTCTAGGGTGGCCCAGGTTCCACAATACAGGTTAAGGACCCAACCCCACAGTCTGGCCCAGGTCCCGCGATGCTAGCTGGGGACCCCACAGTCTAGAGCAACCCAGGCTCGTATGTCGGCACACACGGGCACAGTCTATTGTGCACGTCGCGATTTAAACTGACAAAGATCATCATGTAAACATTTAGTTAACGTAAATTGTTATAATTTCATTTTATGAAGAAAGGTGAACAATTTCTAAGACAGGTTGGTGTGTGAACACGACAATTCTAGTACCGATGAGCGTGTGCCCTTCTGGCGTTCTTTAAGGAAGACTAGTATCATCCACCCGTGTTAAGGTTAACTTCACCACACATGTTCACGATTTGATATAAAAAAAATTCTCTCACTCGCCTGGGTAACGTCGGTGACAATCCCAGTGATGCCGACCGTGCCATTGGAGCTTCCCAGACCCTCTGTGAGAGGGCGGCATCGTGATCCCTTGTGATAGGCGACTGTGATGCCGCCTAAATTTGGAAATGCTCTTCATATGGGCTACACTGGTTTTCGCAGACAATGGCAAGCATTGACTTTGCGTGCAGTTGGTGCCATATCAGTTGACCTTCGAGTCTTGGCACGGTCTTGAACGTGTGCATATCACCCACTAAACTTAAGATGTAAGGCATGTAACACCCTAGTATAGGCTTGACAGTTCAGCTCTCACTCTAACAACAACGTGGGGTGGGATTCTTCATAACCAGACAGAGAACGAGCTTGTTGCGTGTTGAAAAGTAAGTCTGGCTAGTAACTAAGCAATAATTAGAAAGTCATGCTTGTGGTTAACATGAAGGAATCCTGTCTCGCCTTGGTTCATTGTAGCCTTAAGGTCACTGCCTCCTCGGAGTAACAGGGGTAACAGGCCAGTCTAAAAATCCGTGATGATTATCGCATTTCACATTAAACACCGAATTATAAATTCATATCGACTTTGAAGAGAAGTCGCCATTTTCCCTGTTTCTCTGCCAACAATGTAGTTTCTCGAGGATGTTAAGCATTAAAGGCGGACAGTGTGTGTATTGGACAAGGTAGGTCATGGGAATTGTGTTTTCTTCTTGCATAGACTTGTCCGTTACCGAACGAGTCATAGACATGGTTTTTTTTATGGGTAATTAAAGGCAAACGTGTAACTTTATTGACACTGCATTTTTATTCTGTTAAAAACATACCTTTTTATTTAATCAGAATGGGAGATTTATTTTTCTTATGGTGCTATAGAAGAAAGTTGTGTTCTTGTCACTTAGAGCGGATGGATACGTTTTACGTAATAAGTACTGTAAGCCAAAGTCTCTAAGTTTGTCATGATTTTTAGAAGCGTTTCATGATTTTTTGATTCGCAAATGGAATTTATAATTTATTTGATTTGAATTTTGTAAGAATAACTTGTTTGAATGGAAAAAATTGGATGAACTGAATGCTTATTTGTTCAGTAAACGTAGGATGTCTGGGAGGGTTGTAGTACCTTAGTAGTTTAAGACTTGGGAGAAAGAAACTGTTGTTGGTGTTCATTCACAAATTCTCTAGCCACAGTCATTGTTCCTAAATGTTGAATGTATTCTTTATGCTATAGGAACTAGGGTGTCCACCTCGGAGTGGGTGGGTGGGTGGGTGTGGACGTGATCCATAGCCTGCAAGGACGAGTTTTCGGATGTTTAGTTACTGAAGATTCGGCCTTGTGAGCATGGTCACTTCACACTGAGCTGTACTGCTCCCACTCACCATAGATGAAGTTCAAGGTTGCCAATGGAAGTCGGATTTTGCCAGCCAGTTTATGATTCCAGTTCAGTTTTTCCCCATTTGCGCTTAAAAATGTAAGACTTGTAACAATTAAAAAATAGTATTACCTTTACCTAGAACCTCGGTTTCATTTAGTATCATTATACTTCAGAATCTATGGTTCGGTTGAGTCCGGCACAAAGCTGACATTGACTAATTATCCAGGTGGTGCCTTACTTAGGCTGCTCCCGCTGCTAACACTGCTGCTGGCTTGTTTACCATCTTACTGAGAGTTGGTAACGGGCCAATCTGTCGTCACGGTTGTAACATTAGCCAGGGGAGGATGTTCTGGAGGATCTTGTCAATAAACTCATTCTTATCACTGCTTTTCTCTCTCTCACACACACTCTCATACCATTCCATTCTAAAATAAAAGAATTAATAATAATTATTTGGTTGAAAGTATTAATATGTAGTGATGAACCACTAAAAAGTTTACTATTCTATTATTGAATATGGCCAACTGGGACAATTTTTAACAGCAACATAAGTATAGAACCTAACCTCTCTTAGCAATCATACGTCTAATACTATCTTGGACCTAATGCAGTACATATGTAGGATAAAAACAAAGTGATGTATTTGCTAATTGTATATAAACATTTACAAAGTCTTTAGCACTCTCCTGAGTGCTTTTTGTGAAGGTCTAAGTATGTGGTTAGACAAGACTCGCATGCCAACGACTAATGCCATTAGTCGTTGAGATGTAAGTATGGTTCTAACCACACACTTAGATCTTGACAACGCACTCAGGAGAGTGTTAAAGACCTTGTGTAAATGTTTATATAAAATTAGCAAAAACACACGCACACGCACGCACTTGCTCTGTTTGGTCAGTATTCACGTATTAGTTAGTATCCCTTCTGATAATTCCAAACAAATCATGTCTTAGAAGTCTGATAACCCTATCAAATGTTTTAACTTGACCACAGTGCCCAGCTCCCGAGATTGATGTTTCCTCAAATGAATTATTGTAAAGCTTAGCATTTCTGGCAATAAGTTCTAACTATTTTTGTTCAGATAAGTAAATGGTATTTGCTGCAAATATACACTTTACAGTTACACACACACACGAGCTTAACCCCAGGTGCTCCATGAAATCTTCCCTACGGTTTACAGTACAAAAAACCACAATGTTTTTTAAGTGCCTTAGTGTCGTTGTCTCGTAGCTCTATATAGTAACGACAGGTTTGTGCCCAATTCCGCAAATTAACGTTAGCTGGCGACAATAATGTCCACACTCGCGGGTCGTTGCCTCAGCTTGATCAGCCCAAATGGGTTTCAAACGCCGCCAGGGGATCGTAGCCTAGGGGTTTCGATCGCTTCTAAGGGTTTCAATCACCACTAGGAGTTTCGATCGTAACTATGGGCATAGATCGCTGCCAGGGGCATTGGTCGCTGCCAGGGGTTTCGTCGTGGGACGAGTGATCCTTGCAGCCACGGAGGCTTCGGCCCGCTGGGATTGTGTCCAGGATAATAAGCTTTGTTCGGCGCTCCTCCACGCGGCTTTAGCTTTGATATGTTTGAGTGTCATCCAGTTTAAATATAACTTTTTTTCAATGTTTATTTTATGGTAATTTGTATTCTATGAATATGTACCTCGACATAACACCAGGTTCTTTCTCCTGTATTTTAAGTAATAAAATCTAAAAAACAATGTGGATTTTCATTATTCACGGCATAATGTTACTTTTTTGAAGCTGCTTTGTGGTGATATTTTCTGCACGGAATTAGATAAGAGCTTTAATTATACCTTTTAAGTGTGTTTTTTCTATACTGACATAATTTACGCACTGAAACTTAAGTCAACATTCCAAAGTTGGAGGTAAGCAAAAATTGATGTAGACTAATATTTGCCATTTAGCACACAAGAATAACTACATTACTTAAGTTACTAATTTAAAAGAATACGATGTGTTGAAACGTGTAGATGGCTATGAAACTTGAAAACTGTGTAGTAAAAACAAATACTACCAGATTTGTCTTAATAAGGTAACTAATAAAGTTCAAGTATGGAAAGGAAGGTGACAAAGAACCTGAATAATACTCCAACTGTACCCAATTAATAACCCCTTTCCCATATCATCTAGAGAAAGTGCCCAATTGTTATTAAACACACACACATCTATATATATCATTGCAAAATATAAGGTTATTAACGTTGTACGAGTTGCCACTGGCTGAGAGCAGCTGGAATGTTAATGGTCATGCAACAAACACCATGCGATGTTGTAGCACATCCTCAAACAAATCCTGATCACGTGTAAAGGGAGCTCACATGCATTATGCAACGGTTCAGCTGCTCAGAAACTTTATAAACTGCATAATAGAGAGTGGATTTTAGTGAATGCAAATTATTCAAGTATGATCAAAACATGTCTTGAATAACCCAGGTATCGATGAGGGTTCTATAGCAGTAATGATTTTATATATAATATAATATATATAATATTATAATATATAATATATAATTAATATAATATAATAGTGTATTTTGGTAGCAGTCTTTCTTGTGAACATTTGTTGAATATGACCGAAAGGGTAAGAGTAATGATTCTAACACGAATCTTTTCAATGTTTCTTGTGTTTTTCTTCACTGTCGAGAGTAGTTGAAAAATTAACTCAACAAAGTTAATTTTCACACTTTATTTATGGTCTGACGCCTAGAAGTTTGTTTTGGCCGAAGTGGGTATCCAGGCTTGTGGGTCTTGACATTCCCATATGCGTAACACAGTCCGTCCTCCAAACAAAGATACAAGAGAGATTCCATGCACCCGCCAAACCCCCTGTTTATGAATGAACAACACTTTACACACGGCTCACAACTAATGACGTTGAAACGTTTCTCGAACATTGCTTCACTGACCACCTCTGTTCGAGTCACAACTTTGCAAATGCTTCACCAGTGTACTACATATACAAATAATGGCCAACTGAACCTAAATACCTAACCTAACCTAATTTAAGCCTAACTACAAACAAATTTCAAATATGCAATAATGCTAACTTATATATATATATATATCAGAAAATATAGATTTTTTAAAACACGCTACGTTAATATTAATTAATGCGTCTTGGGGTCGACCGCTGCATGGACGATCATAGCCAGATTGACGCTCTAAAATGTTCAGTGTTTCAATTATTGTTTTTTTTTTTTTTTAATCTGCGCGCCAATGCACTCTGGCCTTGGGGGAGAGAGTACCTGTTAACAGCTATATTTGGAAGTACAGAATAACAAGTGAAATGTAGTGGTTTTTTTTTACGATGGGCATTCGACACAGCAATTAAGTTATTTACGTAGCAGCAAGAGAGATTAGGAGTTGAAATTCATTGAGTGTAAACCGATTGTTTTAAGAGAAACGAGTGGCAACACCCCATATTTGGGGATTGACGACAGTCGACTCTGGCGGACAACTGGTGACGGACGTACTAGCCTAGTGTAACCAGGTACAGTACTTTAAAAGTGTATTTGTTATAATTATTATACATTATTACATGCAATTTTTTCATATTAGAATGTTTGTTTCCTTTAGTACTTATTTGTATATAGAATACGTGGGCCATGCATTTAGAGAATTGCATCTCGAAATTAAGAATTATATTAATTAAGTCAGGTGTAAAGTGATTTTAATATCATAAATGCAGCACCCATCCACCAAATTTAAGAGCTTTGGCTGGTGTTTTGAGGAAAATTTGAGCTTTTTGACATAACAATCTAATTATGCAGGCGATGAGTCACAATAACGTGGCTGAAGTATGTTGACCAGACCACACACTAGAAGTTGAAGGGACGACGACGTTTCGGTCCGTCCTGGACCATTCTCAAGTCGATTCTCAATCGACTTGAGAATGGTCCAGGACGGACCGAAACGTCGTCGTCCCTTCAACTTCTAGTGTGTGGTCTGGTCAACAATCTAATTATGTTTGAATCTCTTATTCCAAACTTGCTTCACCCACTTCGTCAATATTGTAAATACATTCTTAATCAACCTAACTAGGCTAACAAACCAAGGCCTAATTGCGAAAAAATCTTTGAAACCAAGTAACCTATCAAAATCTTGTTTATAAAACCGTTATTCTAACCGTTATTAAGAAAAATCAAATGGTTTTCGATAAAACCAACTCAGAAGAGGCAACATATGGCTGGGAAGTAATATATTTTTAGATGGAATCATAGTCATAGAATCATTGACGGTAATGGTACACACATCATCATCATTACGGTGTTTTCATTGGAACTAAAATAACCTAAATATTGATGATGAAAGTCAGATGCGATGGCTATGTTCCTATGCTTCTGATTAAGGAAAACCACTGCAGGTATGACAGCACACAAATTGTGAGAATGGGGCGCACCATCACTAGTTGCATTAGGACCCGTGACTACACCTCTACCTCCTCATTAATCCCCATCACCAACCCCTTTAACAAGTTAGAGTCCGGGTGCCTGTAAGTCATTAAGATACGAACTGGTCAAGTAGCCTGGTCTGGGTGGCGGAGAGTCCCGAGAAGGACATCATAATTTCAAATCATGTTCCTATAATAAATTTTATATAGAAGATAACGAGAGCCAGAAGTAATTTACACGTTAACGCGATGTTATGGCTGACCTGACAAATGTGAATTGAAAGCGCCATCTTGCATACCAAAGGGGGGGGGGGGGTCCTGCCTCGATGGCTTCATTTGTTGTGGTGAATCTTCTCTCAGAGTTGGTATCATAGTAGTAATAAGGGCGGTGAAGCACAGATGTGAAGGTTGTAGTCTTCTACGAGCAAGTTATTGTGGTGAGCTTGTGAAATGTAGTGAAGCACAAGACTATTAACGGTTTAGGTGTTGTATTACATCCGGTGTAATGTTGTATTACATTACATGGAGGGAAAATTAAACAGTTTAATTATTACGAAGGGTTGTGTTAAGCTAGCATGCAAGATGATTAGGTGCTTCATAGTGAAGAGGTGAATTCGTAGACTGAAAAGTTGGGGCTAAGTATATAGTGACATGTTTCTGTGACGCTGACCGCCACAGAAACTCATATTAGAAATTACATGGACAGTAAAGTTTGGAAAGTAAAATATAATTTATACAGATGTGGTAGAACAATTAGGTCAAATGCAGGTGGGCATAATAAATGACTAACTAATCTGTTTAACCAACATTTAAGTGTTTAACAACAGAGGGGGTTGTGGTATTGATTGATAGTATTATTTCTTCTCAAACCGCATGACAGCAGTGGAATTACCTGCTTGGGAAGTGTCTGCATGGGGTTACATGGTAGCCAATGCGCTATTTCGCGTCTTGCAACGCCCCGGTATAGCCAAATGAGGGGTCAAGTGATAAGTGCAATAAACACATGTGAAATAATAGGCGCATGGTTTTGTTGCAGTTAGACAATTGGCAGAACTGGAAGAAAGGTCGCCAAACAGGAAGGATGATTGGCAGTGCTGGAAAGCTGGAGAAAAGTTCACTCCTGCGGCTGCTATTCTGTACAGGGAAAAGATATGACTCTGACGATTTATGCCTGGGGTTCTCTACAACGATATTTGCTGATTTACTCGACGATTTATGCCTGGGTTTCTCTACGATTTATATCTGGGTTTCTCTGGTATTTAGAGAAGTGGTAATGCATGGAAAGGATGGAGAGACGAGGTCTGAGGACGGATGAGTGATGAAAGATGAAAGGGAAAAATAAATCATGGAAATAGAATGTCTGGTGGTGACGGATTGTGGTCGATCTCTCATCCGATGAGAAACCTGATAACCAAATGAAGTGAATGGGGTGGCACACGGGGCGGGGGAGAGGTTGATGGGTGGTGGGGAGAGGCTGCTGGGTAGCGGGGAGAGGCTGCTGGGTGGCGGGGAGAGGCTGCTGGGTGGCGGGGAGAGGCTGCTGGGTGGCGGGGAGAGGCTGCTGGGTGGCGGGGAGAGGCTGCTGGGTGGCGGGAAGAGGCGCCGGCAGATGGTTCTAGACGCCGACAGTTGGCTCTGGACGCCGGCAGAGGGCTCTGGACGCCGTATTGTTAATGTTAATGACACGTAAAGGCAAGTCAGAGGCCCGAGAAGTGTGCTGACTCTTGACGGAACCGCTTCTCTAAACAAGCCAAACTTAACCAATCCAAATCCTATATAACCCAACCCTACTCAATCAAACTCAAGTCGTCATATCCTGCCTTGCCTAACCTAACGGAAATGTGAGATCAAATTCTGTTCTATATATGATATGCCGTCATAGCAACGTCAGTTTTAATGCCTACTAATGTTTTAGTAGGCATCCATCAGTCTCAGGTATCAGTCTCTCGGTGGGTATACTGTTATACTTGGGTAGGGCTCCTGGGGTAAGAGAAGTCACTGGGTCACTGTGTGATGGTCGCCGGTCACAGCACGGTGCTTGGGGCAGATGTTTTCTAAGTATTGTTGTTTGGCGGGGCACAGCTGTAGGGAGACGCAGTCGGGAGGTCTCCTTCACACACACGTGGCCACCTGTGCCTCGCTGTTGTGTGTCTACATATACTCATGCTATATGTCTTTTATTGGTCGTAAGTTTACTTCTCCCCTCCCCCCCCCCTCTCTGTCTGTCTCTCACTCACTCACACCACACACACACACACACACAAAAAACACGCACACAACTTCACAAAAGCTACACACACACACACA